CATTTATGTTCAGTCTATTAAATAACACGTCCAGCCTCACACTTGACATTTCTGAGCAGCTTTGCACCTCTAAGGAAGAAGGTTCTATTTCTTCCCTCAATTTGTTCTTTTCATCCAGGTTTGTCTTAAAAATAAAAAAAATAAAAGCACTCATCCGTTTCAGCTTTGTCTACTGCACGGTGAAGTCCAAAGGGCGCAATACTACCTGACCAAACAAAGCTGGGGGACCCCCCCTCCTCCCCTATATATATATATGTGTCTATCTTTATAAACGTGCACAGCACTTTTCTGTCAAGACACGTTCAGTCCCTCAAGACAGGACAGTTTTACCCCAGACCTGTGCAAGCCCCTTTGATTACCCCGGCAAAGCATCCAGGCAAAAGCCATCTGTCCTCTGTGTACCTGCGAGCCTGGTCTAGCTCGCCTTCTGGTCCAGGGAAAAACTCACCTCTATTGCCACCTGTCTGGTTTTATAAGCTTTTTACAACTGTTTTCAGAAATTAATATTGCTATTTTCAGTTTAGTGTCATAAATCAGCTATCGGTATGGTACTACGCTCTAGCTGGTTACCGGCCATCCTTGAAGAACTATCTTCCTTTTGACAAAATATTTCAGGAGCAACATCAAACTAAAGAAAAACTGTTGAAACCTGTTTTCCAAAATAATAGAGTCCTTTCCATCCTGACACAGGCATGCCATGAATCGCAGCTCTCTTCTGTTTTCTCCTGCTTCTCCAGTTGAGCAAAATTCGGCAAGCGGTCAGTCCGCAAAAGCATACCGTTGATTGCAAAAGGGCTGAATTATGCTTTATTTTCCTACCGGGGCACACCAGTTTGAGCATGATCACACTTACTCAGCTCTTCAGTTTCACAGAACTCCTGAACATTTATTGTTTGTATCCCCTTAGATGTAACTGGCCCATGGGTTGAAAAGTTGGTAGAGCCGGAAAGACAGACACACCTCCGTAAAAAACCCTCTACACTAGAAGTATTCCTCAGCTGAATTTTTTTTTCTCTTCATTCTTGTAGAGCTCACTTTAGGCCTGGTGAATTGTTCCTGAGGACAAGTTCAAGCTCCTGTTACAGCTTCTAGTTCCTTGTTGGGTACAGTTCGGTCATCTTATTCATTTATGGTTGTTAGCCAAACTGCTCCCCCACCAGTTCTGTCTCCCTCAGCTGTTTTTAGTGGACAAGAGCCAGGAGAGACTCCAGTTACACAGCAAGTTTCGCATCCTCACCGACTGTCTCTAACCTCCCTTCGCTGATCTCAGTGGGGAAATCAAAGTCCCAAGGTGGGTATTACGGATTCCTGCATGGGGCAGTTTCTGTGAAGCCCAACAGGTTGGCATGCCTTAGGAGGCAGGGAGCGTGCTTCATTTTGGGAATAATGCTGCTTTGAGTTTCTGGACTAAAACATTACTTTTATGGGGAAAAAAAAAATTAATACCTTTTCTCTCCTAACCCTGAAGTTTAAAGAACTGCACCTTTGTGCTGGTTTTGGCTGGGATAGAGTTAATTTTCTTCACGGTAGCTGGTATGGGGCTGTGTTTTGGATTTGTGCTGGAAACAGTGTTGATAACACAGGGATGTTTTAGCTATTGCTGAGCAGGGCTTACACAGAGTCAAGGCCTTTTCTGCTTCTCACCCCACCCCACCAGCGAGTAGGCTGGAGGTGCACAAGAAGCTGGGAGGGGGCACAGCCAGGACAGCTGACCCCAACTGACCAAAGGGATATCCCACACCATGTGACGTCATGCTCAGCACATAAAGCTGGGGGAAGAAGAAGGAAGGGGGGGACGTTCAGAGTTATGTGGTGTCTGCCTTCCCAAGTCACCGTTACGCGTGATGGAGCCCTGCTTTCCTGGAGATGGCTGAGCACCTGCCTGCCCATGGGAAGCAGTGAATGAATTCCTTGTTTTGCTTTGCTTGTGTGTGCAGCTTTTGCTTTGCCTATTAAACTGTCTTGATCTCAACCCACGAGTTTTCTCACTTTTACCCTTCCGCTTCTCTCCCCCATCCCACCAGGGGGCGAGGCGGGGGGGGGGGCAAGTGAGCAGCTGTGTGGTGCTTAGTTGCTGGCTGGGGTTAAACCACAACAACGCTGCAGGTGTCTTTCCCCCTAGTTAGTCTCATTAAATCTCATCTCTTCCAGACTCATTTTTTCCATGCATACTGTTTGCAGCTTTCACTCTTAGAATTCTGATTTTTTTTTTTTTTTTTTTTAAACATACTGGTTTCTCATTGTCTTCTGCGGCTGAAGCTTTTTGCAAACCCAGTTCCTATGAAGCAGTTCCTGCGGAGTCCTTGAAAATGAGAATACTGAAAAAGCTAAGCTTACTGGGATGAAGGGGGAAACAGCTAACATTTTTTCATCCCCAAATACTTTTCCCTAAGTGGGAGGAATTTCAAATAAACAACAAATCTTCTAATTTCTGAGAAACAGTTTGCTTAGTGCCATCCATGCTTGCTTCAATTACAATCACTAATTGATACATATTACCTATTCTATTCTAATAGATATAATTTATATAACCTGCTTTTTTTCTACTGAGATGGTGGTATTCTACTTTGATTAGTGAATTCTGACACGTAGCCCACGTAGGACTAGAAATACGGCTCCTAAATGCTAATTTCTTCCACTTAGGTTACAGGGCAGGTTGCAAAGGTAAGGAAAAAAACCCACGTCTTAAGATATCAGATCTATTATGGACAATGGGTGTTTTTGATACTAAAGGCTCCCAGCCCATTTAGATCATTAGTAGCAAATACCTGAAGCAATTCAATAGACAAAATTAAATGTTTCCACACGTTTTCACACTAACCAAAGCTGTGCTAAACTAAACCAGCATTTTCCCCCGCTGTTTCTGAACAATCATTTCAATGCCAGCAACCTGAAGATGACTATAAAGAATAAACTGAAATTTTATTACTATCTGCTGTCCAGCAGTTGTTTTATAAGTCAAGAACTGTCGGGCAATTAAAACCTAATGCACTGCAGGCAGCGTCAGCTGTTTCTGGCAACAAGAGACAACTATTTACATGAGGATTTCAGCTGTTTCTGATGCAGAGCTATCTCCTCTTTGAAACTGCCTTTATTTTTATCAAGTAACTGCATAAGTAAGTTGCTTACAACTATGATCAATAATTAATTACCTTTGGATTCTTTCTCTCCCATCATAGCCAGTTACGGTGACACCACCTACAAAAATAACCTACTTGGATGTTGTGTGTCACGAACCACAAACACAACAGCCGATAAAACACAAAACCCCCCCCAGCCGATTCCTCTGGTTTTCCAGGTAAATGAGAACTGTTTCATGGGTTACAGATACATCTGCTGATAACCACTGCCACTAGCACCATTTAATTTCGGTTTCCAGAAGACCAGTTCCACAAGTAAAGAACAATTTTAATTAAAAGTAAACACTCAATATTTGTTTCTCCCTCCTCAGCATTTTTTAACCGTAGCTTCAAATTATTAACGGCTAAGATGTCAATACTCTAAAATTACAAGACAATACAATTTCAGTTTGGTGCCTGATTAGATGCTGTGGGCTTTAATCCTGAAATAATGATGTAAAATGTAATTGAGTCAAAATATGCCTAATGTATTTGGTCCCATGTCGCAACTCTCAAAACCAGTCAATCATTCCTCTCCTTTAATTATTAAGTAATCTTCTGTTTAGCATCATCCATGTTAAGAATTACTTTTCCAAAAGAAAAAATAACTATACAGTATCAAACCAAATATATTGTAGAAATCCTGATATAGCTATATCAAAACCACAACCTTTTAAGAATATGTATGATCTTGAAAACCACCAGTCTAATCAGTAAAAATATTCCCCATAGACCTGTGTGAATGGATCTTATATCATGCTGCTTTAAAAGCAAAAATAAATCCCATAAACCTGTGTCAATGGACTTACATCATCCTTCTTTCACTATCAGGCAACGGGGCCCCTTGTCAGCTTATTTTGCTTAAGATTGATAATTGCAAGCTGTTAGTTTGTAATTCCCTACATTGTTCCAATAAAAAATTTCAGTCCCAGAATGGGAATCCCAAAACAAGCTCTCACTGGCATAAAGATACTAGTAACTATAAACACAAACAATGAATGAGACACAAATGTTCAGCAGTGTACTTTAAAAGGCGGCCAACAAATCATTGAAATGTTCTAAAAAATTATTTTCGGTCCACTACATGCTGTTGCTGCTGAGCTAAAACATAAACATTTTGAAATCAAGTGATCTGGTAGGTTTAAAGATGACAAAATATGTCAGTCTTGAATTTGGCAGTCCAGATGGAAGAGTTCAGAGGTATAATGAGAATATTTCCACTGAGACACGATTTAAAAATAAGGTAGTAACAGTATAATCAGAATTTTATCTTCTTTTTATCAAGGACAGTACCAACACTTGAGTTAGTGGGTCACACGAAGTAAGTGGGGCTATTTGCAAGAATGAAAAAAAGTCCGAAGATTACAGATCAACATGAACCTTTCCAATTTAAACACTCCTAAAAGCATAAAACTGACTATTTTATAGGGCTCCATTTTGTCCTACTGTTAAGTTTCCTTCATTATTTTTACCAAAGCACCGTTTTGAGACTTGCGATTAAGATGTTAAAGAAAGCTGTTACAGTAATGAAAGACACCGAGTTCCCGTTTAAAAGTAGAAACACGTAGCCAAGTATTGAGTCAAAGAAGATGCATCTTCAGAAAATAAGAGGGTCTGCCTTCTTCCTGGAACGAGGTTGTGATCTCAGGAGTAATGAGAATAAAGTGTGCATATTCATCTTTAAACTGGTTGCACCCGAATGACATTACAACTGGCTTTCTAAAAATTAAGAAGTCAACAGGCATTAGAGCTGTATAACATTTTTATTTTACTATATTGACATTTTATGCACAAATATTTTATCCGAGTAAAAATAGAAAATAATTGTTTCATGTAAAATTACCAAAAAAAATGCAAACCACGAAAGAAATACATAATTATTAGCAGAGTATAAGTGTCTTTATTTAAAGAGTAAAAAGTATGCAAAAAACCTTCCGTTTTACAAAAAATTGGGAATATTCTTTCTATGTTTTCCTTCTGGCAGCAACAGAACAACCTTTGACAATGTTCTACATCTTTTATTTTATTGAAGACATCAAGTTAGTCACAGATTTCTCCCTCAACTACAGAGAACGTGACAGTTTTTTTACAGTTTGAAAGATTCCTTCTTTACTAACTAGAACACGGTGGAAAAGCAGATGATCCCACAACAAAGAACCCAAAGGACTACCATACCTACTGAAAAGCTGCAAAATAATAATCGGGTGTATTTACAAAGAAAATGTGGTATCAGAAGTTTCCCCTAGAGGGCTTATCATGTAACAAGAACATTCAGGGGGATAAAGTATCGATACTACATTTCAATTTTGCCGTTAGTTTATCCTCCCGCAGTCCAGTTTGATCTAGAGAGCTGATATTTTAAGCTTCTCTTCTTTTTATACTGTATTTCAACGAAAAAGGCCTCTCATGAACTCTGCTAAATAAACCTAATGACTTGTATTGGACTTTGTTTAGTAACAGAGCGGTGTTGTACACATAGTTGCTGCCACCGAACTACCAGCTTCATCGTATTCTGAGTAAGCAAACCTGCATCTATTTGCGTAAGTCACCTCGAACACTTGCCGACTGGTGGAATCAGACTACTGTAACAGTAATAAATGGACTGATGGCCGACGACCTCTCGTGACAGATGCATTTACGTATTTTGCTCAGGGCTTCGGATTTTTTTAAAAACAAAATAAAACCAGCATGCTCAGTAGATGGAGTGCTTTAAGAGCTCAAGAATGAAAACAATATTAAGAGTTACTGAAAGAATCTGGCAAAAAAAGTTATAATCGTGGTGACAACGAAAAAAGCAGGCTAGAACTACATGCAAGATTTCTAGTTAAGCAAAAACTACCTGCAGATGAACATCCACCTATGAACAAAAAGCTTTGTCCTCAATGCACCTCTAAAATAAACGTGAGTCTTCGGTGTTCTTTGCCCTCTGCCTGCCAAGTGTGACCGTTCCGTCTCAGATCAGGAGCAACAGTCCAGTGCTCTCGCTACTCAGTATAAGCACATTTTATGTTTAGAACCTCACTGTACGAGCACTTTTGATTTAAAGTTTAAGAGTAGCTCGATCCCTCACAGAATTAAAGGTTTTCCCTTACACATTTGCGTTTTAATTGTTAAATGTTACCAGAGGGGGTTTCACTTCTGAAAAGTTGGAAAATATGCATGGTGACATAATACTTATACTGTTTAATAACATGAAGGGGCAAAAGCAAACCCAGAATCGCACCATTTTCAGCCATCAAAAGAAGCAGTCTAACAGGCATCAGTACAGAAGCAAAAAAGTTGCAGCCTACTTTTTACTGCACGTTTAAGTTTGCACGAAGTACTCTCCGTAGCTCAGAATTCAGGATACATTCCAACATTTCTATTCATCATCCAGACTTCAAATTGCACCCAGCTCTGGAGCATGCATTTGGCTTATGAAGCTTCAAAAACATCACTTGAAGTTCAGAAAGAAATCGATTTTAAATAAAAAATATATCTTTGTATTTTAATGTATGTCAGACTGTACAATAATTTGGAAATCAAGCTTCAGTCCTCTGTAAAACTATTTTCAACTTGCATTTTGTTTCTAGACAGGGACTACTGACTGTGATTAACTTAAGCCTTCAGTTACTAAGGTTGACTACCGTGCAGGTATAAGCACCTTGCAGAACAGAGCATTAAAAACCCCCACCAAAACAAACTCCTCTTTGGGTGAGGGCTATTTTTTCAAGTTTTCAAATCACCTGATGGGGGGTGGTAGCGGGGGAAGAAGTTTGTCTTTGCTTTTTGCTAAATGGCTAGCATTAACAATGTCTTTCGAAACAGGTAAGTACTTGCCCTCATAGATGCATATTATCTACATATTACAATGAAATACTCATAATTGGCTTTTCACCTAAGCCAGATCGAAACCTGGATCTCCTTCTTCAGCACTGATCTTCAGTTCGGTCTAGTCTTAGTTTCCTTTGCTTATAAACACAGAAGCTGTTTTAAGAACCTGATGCTTTGTAACGTTTAATGTGTCTTTCGGCTCTGCGTGATGAAATGAGAACAATGAACATGTTTAATTTGGAAAGCATCAAATGCCATTTGGTGGTTCAGCAGAGACCAAAAGACTGGAAAGGACTGAGTTCAGACAACCGATCAGCCTGCTTGCTGCAGGTACTTCATTTTTGTTAAAAGCACTGCAAAAATTACTTTGTACAGCTGTGGACACAGAGCGCTGACCAGTTCAACCCTTCTCACCAATTTCAGACTGCACACCACAGAGGCCCTGACTCAAAGTTGCAGAAGTTGTGGTGATCCCTTAACTTACATTGAAATATACGCTGTTAAAAGATCCAAATTTATGCGAGTCCCAGTTCTTTATAGAAAATCATGCTTTGTATTGTACGGTCAAGAAACAAAAGAAGTTTCCGATTCTGATAAAGGTCAGAGCAGCAACTGCTCTGGTTATTTAGGAAAGGCCTCAGGCTCCCACTTTCAGGTCCTAGTGCTCAATTATCTTTCTCTGTTTGCAGGGACGCTGTAGCTAGCGCCACTGCTGTAACTGGCTGCGCAATCCCATGGAGCTGCATCTTGGCTAGTTTCTTCTGCTCACATTCCGTGACCAACCGATTCAACTCTGCTGCGCTGTAGCCAATGAGAGTTTTCAAGTCGCAGACAAATTTGTACACAAACCTCTTGCCTTGCACTTTGCAGATCATGTCTCCGTCATAGTAATACCTGCAAAAAGAACAAGGGGGGGGGAAAAAAAAAAAGAAAAAAGAGAAAATAATTGTAAATTTTCAGCATCTGTAACTTCCACACGCATCGGTTATTTACTTAAGGTCACTCGGAGGCCAAAATATGAATCTTTTTCTCATCAAAATTCTCATGTAATTTCATATACCAAGATACTGTTTAGGCATTTTCTTATATGAGAAAAGGGAAGAGGGTTGAAAATTGTCCCTGCACCTTGATACGTTAAGGAAAAACAAAACATAGTAATTATTTGATAGGCAGTTGAAAGCACCAGTTCAGAAATGAAGGTCTCGGAGCAGTTTAAAAACAGCTTGGGGGGGAGTAAGTTTTATATAGTGCTTTGCCTTAATAAGAAAACATTGTCTCCCCCCTCATTATTGTCCTTGGTTTTCTTTACTCTTGTCTCTGCTTTTCTGAGGAAAAAGTTCACGTTGGAAAGAGTTTGAAAATTAGCATTGTAGTTTCTATGATACTGAAGCAGCCGTTCTCTCCCTATTGTTTTCAAAGATGGAAGTAAAACTATAAAAGCGTGTTTGGTTTGTTTTTTTTTTTTTTATAGTTCATATGCTGGCAAAACTACATCCTTCGCCTTTATTTACAACTAAAAGTGACTTCTCTAACTATGAATACTTTTTACACTGCTTAACAAAAGAATTACCAGACTGGGCAGAAATACAGTAAAGATAACAAAGTCTATATGACCCACTGTACTCCAGAGACATTATAAAACTTTAGGTAATACCAGTAAAAGAGAAGTTAGAATCTTACAGTTTTGTTGCTGATCTTGTCTCACTGGAGGCATTAATAGAACGCATGTTATCTTGGACTTGATGAGCATAACAAGCTTGTGATAAATTTGGAAAAAATCAAAACCAAAACCAAACAACCAAATAAACAAAAAAAAAAATCACACAATTTAATTTCCTCAAAACCATCACCCAAATGTAGTACAAATGAGCCCAGATTTCTTGACTGTTTATAACTCAATCCTCTGAGTGACATGCTTGTAAAGCAAAGATGATTCTCATTCACCAGCAAAATTAAGTCAATTAAAAGACCAACTTCTGTCTCCCAGCTCTAGTGGCAAAGAGGTTAAGTTACCAAGAACCCAACCAAATTTCTTCAGACACCTCAAATTCTGAAAAAAGGCCTTTTAATTTCTTACTTTTGAGGGTCAGGATCTAAGCAGCAGGACCAAAGCAAAGAAAGGATGAGAGGTAGACTACGTAGAAAAAAACGTTGGCAAGCCTGCTGGTTACTGACACCGTACAAGGAGCCGCAGAGGTCTGTTATGGAGTACAAGAACTGCCAAAACAGCTTGCGATTGCTCTGCGGGCAAAGAAAGTTTGGTCCGTTTGCCAAAGCTCTCCTTCACCTTTCTCCTGAATGACATATAGCTACATAAAAGCTTCCTCTTCCGTCCTTCTCCTCACTCCAACCCCTCAAGCTAACACCTGCGCCTCCCTCAACTCCTCTCTGTTTTCTTCTCCACATCATCACGCTTGTTCTTAACTGCTACTCCACTGCCACTCAGCACTTCTCCGCGCCAGCCCTATCCTAACAAAGCATCTTCCTGGCACCAGCTGAAGGATCTGTTGTTGTATGGTGTCCATCACATTCAGCCTCCTAGTGAGGCAATGAGGTTTAGTCATAAGGGGTTAGATGAACCCTGTAACCTAGAGGGTGGGATGATAATTTATGCTCGGCTTTGAAGTACAGTCTTGCAGCACTGGGCAGAATTGGGGAAGGATGAGGGATATCCTGGTGTATCCCTCGCGTGTGAAATACAGTATAGCTTAGAGAAATACAGTATAGTTTAGAGTGTGGGAACACTGGGCAGGCATTCATGTTGAATGTGACAGGGTACTGGACACAGAGAAATTGGGGAACTGGGAGCTGTGCTCACCTGGGTCAATAAGAAGCATCTGCAGAAAGCCGGAGTATGTAAGATGTGGCCATGGCATATGGTTAAGTGCCACGGGCCAAGATTAGGTTTTGGGTTGTTTTGGTTTTTTTTCCTTAAGTTATTTAACTGTACAATACTGTACAATAATGCCTGTCTCAAAATAATGCTGTAGAAAAATGCTTTACAAAACTGAATAAATTTCTTTAAATGATTTAGTCTGCGTTACTGATATGATCAGAAAGGAAAAAGACCACAAGAAATTAGTCCGCATTTATACGAAGGCCCAAAACCATGCAAGATTCCCACATCTCATGCTAGAAACACTCAAGTTAGAATTGAGGCAATGGTGAGAGGATTTTTTCAATATTATGTTGAATGCATTTCTGATTCCAGTATTTGCTCATTCAAAAATATCGAAAGCTAAAAATAAATAAAAATAAATACCCATGCAAATTTACAAAGCCTTAGTTACTGGAATGTTCCGAGTCACATGAAAACTTTGTTTCGGAATAATTCAGGAGATTAATTATTTTTCTTCAAGTCTCACTTCCCTACTGGATAACTAAGCGGATGTTGATTTTAGAAAATTTACCAAGGTGTATGCAACAAAAAAAAGCTGTTTTTCACCCTGCCCTAGCTTCTATACTGCCTGGTTTTCCTACAGCTGGGCAGCAGAGCTAGCACATTTCTCAATAGTATCAACATCATTTTCTGTATAAACCAACAATTGACAGAGTAATTTCAGTACATTAGTAAACTAAACATATTACAATTTAATAAAACTTTAGCTTGGCAACAGCGTTTATCACGGGTGTAGCAAGAGGCATGAAATATCCCTTCAGACACTCAAGTGTTAGAAAACATGTCAATATTGATGCAGCTGCCAAAATGGCAACATTTTGAGGAATATGATTTCTGTAATTCTGTGACTAAAATACAAATGCAAAACTTCTCTAATAGTGATTTATGTAAATTACTGTGCAGACATCTGTTTAATATCCCAGTGATAAGAACATTATTCTAAAGTTCTTCAGCTGCCTTTGAGATCTTCTGCGGAGTTTGACAAAACCCAAAAAACATTAGCATCATTTACATCATTTTTACGTTCCAGAAAGTTTTCACATATACCTTCAGTACACAAACACACAGATTCACAAAAACAGGTTGGAAATATGGGAATGATATTGCAACAATACAGGCTGGGGAGCAGCTCTACTGGAAAGGCCCTGCTTTGGGCAGGAGGTTGGACCAGAGACCTCCTGAGGCCCTTCCCACCCAAGGGATTCTGTGATCCTACGAAAAAAGTAACATTCTAATTTAATATATAAATAATGCAAGAACAGCCATACAAGACCAGACTAAAGATCTATCTAGAACAGGATATAGACTCCAACAGACCAAAAGAGGACACCTAAGGAAAAGCATGATCGTAGCGTAAGCATGTATCGATGCTCTTCCTTGCTTTCAATGATCTGGGGCTCAGAAACTTCTAGAAGTTGCATCTTTCCATACCTAATATCCTTCAAAATATGTCTTTTTCATTAATTTGTCCACTTGCCTCTCAAACTCATAAAATAATTCTGGCATCCACAATACTGTGCCTAAAGAAGTTACAGGACAAACGAAAGGGTATAGTTAAGCTGTGTATCTGGTGCCTGCCAGTTTCTTTTTTATGAAGATCTCTCTCACGTAAATGAGATACCGAGCAGTCATTCTTTATTGACTCTAAGCCATTCATGGTCTTCTAGACTTCGGTCTCCCCCAGTGAAAGTACTCATTCAGCTTTATGCATATTGATGTTATTTAAATCCTCCCTAAAAGACTAAAGAAAGCCAGAATATGGTAACTTTACCATCATTTCTCATAGAGGTATTTTTAAATAGAAGTTGATTTTTTTTTTTTTAAACAATGCTAGTTTATTGACTCTAAGCCATTCATGGTCTTCTAGACTTCGGTCTCCCCCAGTGAAAGTACTCATTCAGCTTTATGCATATTGATGTTATTTAAATCCTCCCTAAAAGACTAAAGAAAGCCAGAATATGGTAACTTTACCATCATTTCTCATAGAGGTATTTTTAAATAGAAGTTGATTTTTTTTTTTTTAAACAATGCTAGATGAGTTTACTTCCTTAAAAAAAAAAAAATGTAGCCAGAAGTGGAAATGCTGAAAAGTAAATCTTAGATCTCAGACTTCAACCAATATGCAACTTCACTCATATGAAAAGAGTTCATAAAACTGCTCAAATAATTTGCAGGATTAGGCAATAAATACCTTTCTTGAAAACTAATCAAAAGAAATAGATTTAACCATATCAGAATAAGAAATTAGAAGTTCAATCTTAATGATAGGCCAAAACAATCAGGGAGAAAAAGTCTAAAATTCAGGTACTTGCGTTCTTCTCCCTCCTCAAGCACATCACCTACAGTGATACAATAACACAAGTCCCTTTTACCAATGTCAAACTACAAAATCACAATGGAATGAAGACAGCCTGAAACGCTTCCGTTTCTTCAGATGATAAAAGTTCACTATGTTGGAGTCACAACAACTGTTGAAACTTACCTGTCAACTGTATTTTTCAATTTAACATCCCTACCATGAGAACAGTGGAATGGATCAATGAATATTTGAGCTTAGAAAAAGTTTTGTAACATACACAAAAAATTGTTACATACAGAAAACTACTAACTATTACGTAACTACAGGAAAATATCCGCTTCATTCCGTAACAAGAGCAAGAGGAACACAAACAAGTAAACTGTAAAATACAAAAATACGTCAATAATTCAGAGTATTCACATATTTCTGTATCTTTCACCAATAATCAATACTGTTTGGCACACTACTGAAAGCATAAATGCTGAAGATACGTCAAAAAAATATATTTCCAAAAGTGAGCTACCCAAATTAACTATCATGTCAGTGTTCAATAATCTTGAAAAAAGAAAATATATTTTCAAGAAGTTATTGTACTAGCGTCTTTGAAAAGAAAAAAACAAATACCTTGCCCCTAAGACTAGTACAATCTGATGGGCAGGAGTAGCTTCAGAGGATCTGTTTATGCCTTTACTAAAAAAGCCGCACGTCTTGCATTATGATAGTTAAAAATAAAGTAGCCAAGCGGAAGGAAATCACTTCATACCTGATCAGTTCCTAAAGTTTCTTACCTCAAAGCCCGACTAAGCTTCTCATAGTTCATCGTGGGTTTGTTTTTGCGCTGTCCCCATTTTTGCGCAACCAGTTCAGGCTGATTCAGTTTAAACTCTCCTTCATCACCAACCCAAGAAATACAGTCCCGAGCATCTTTGTCTGTGAGAAGTTCTAACAAAAACTGCCACAACTGGATCTGGCCATTGTTTCCTGTTGAAATAGGAATAACAAGATCCATTTCAATTAGTCTTTTTTATGTTCCGCTCATAGCTGAAAATTTTCAGCCAACATATTAAAGCAGACCAACATAGAATATATGATGGAAGGAAAACTTGCACTTAATCAATTTCTTGTAATTGTTCTTTTATAAACATTTTCCTGCAAAGTCATCAGTATTAATCCATTAAAAAAGAAACTAATGAATAAAGGAAAAAAAAAAAAAAAAAATATCAAGATTTCTCATAAATCTGTTCCTAGAACTTAAGAAAAAAAAATTATAGGACACTACACATAGTCATTTAGACACGTATCTATCCCTAAAATAGAACAGTTTTACCAAGAGCTGCTTATTCCTCTTCAGGCACATACACATATATACATATATACATAATAGAAGTTGCATTTTTTAAAAAATAGTTTAGTCTCCAATTTTCAACATGAAATATTAGAAATACGAATAAAACCCCCAAACTTCACCTTACGTCAGTATAACATCTTTCATGTCCAATCATTAAGATTTCTTTTTAACTCAAGTATCTGCAGTTAAATTCCTGAATTCTCAATGAGATACAGACGGAAGACCTAATGTCTAAAGGGAGAAACACAGAGTATTCCCCACTGATGTCAGCCGATAAAATCTTGGCCTAAGAACACTGAATGACATCATAATAGACTTTTATGGAGAGTTTAAAGGAAATAAAAACTCAAGGGAAAGGAGAGGAAAGGATTTAACAGAAAAATTCACAACAGTGGAGAGAGACAAAGCAAAAAAGACAGCAAGAAAAAATAAGGTAAAGAAATTACAATGTTATTAATAATTGAAGAGTATGTATGAATAAGGGGGAGAGGGGAGGAGGAGGGGAACAAGTAGGGCAAGTAGTAGCTAGGCTAGGATTCTACAACATACAATTTATTTTCTCCCCTTTCTGCAAAGGGAAAGCGGAAAGAAGTTAAAAGCTTGAATAAATGCTATGCAGTGGTTTGAGAGGACAGACTGTTAAGTGATAGGAAGAGAAACAATTTTATGCATTTTATTTACCGCAGGACTCAAAAGCTGCAGCACCACATTAACACAGTGCCTGTGTGAGCTAACCAACCTGCCAGGTCTGCATGTGCTTGTGATATACTTTGTAGCTAAGGTCCCCTTCATACCACGTAGACTTCTACAAACCTCACATTCAGAGTGACAGAGATGTGTTCTACAAAACTGTAATTCAAATTAATGAGTGTTTACTGCGTTTGCATTTAAAAATAATGGAGACAATACCTGTTCTGTTCCCAGGGGAACTTCTATCTTCCCCAGAGATCCTTGGAGCTCTCTGTACTTTAGCTGCCTTTGCACTGCTGTTTATTACTTTAATGGTGGTTGGGGTAGCAGGCTGTACAGATGCTGGAATAATCTGCACAGCTGTAAAGCAGAGAACATTGCAGAACATCAATTATAAACTGCTGGCACAGAAATAGGCATATATTATTTATTACCTGTATTATCGTAACATCTAGGAGCTAGTTTTTTCCTTTGCTAAAAAGACACACTGTGTAAGTCACAATGCTAAGAATAATTTAAAGACTTTTTACCACTTACAGTGGAAATTGTGGTTTTAGACTCGTAGCAGAGATGCCACATTACAGATGAAACATCAGCTTTAGTTTACTATCATGTGTATTACATGTTTCCATAAAAAAAAACAAACCTCGTGCCTTTGTTTTCATCTTTATGCTCTTCCCATACGATCTACCCTAATGCACTTTTCTCTATCGTCACTGTACAACCCTCCATACGTGCTATACAAACAGCAATTAAATACCCTTCTATTGCTATGGCGTAAGAGGATGCAAAAGCCCCACTCGAGGTGGCTTTAACTAGACACAAACCCAGAATGTAATACACAGTCTATCTATTTAACATATAAGCTGCTTACAAGTCTTGTGAAAATTGATTCATTTTAATAATTGATGACACCGCTTCAGCTGGAAGAATGAGTTTCAAATAACTGGAAAGTTACTTTAATGTATTTTTTCTAGTACTGTTTTCTAAGCAAGTCCTCTCTTCCACACTCCCTTTCAGTTTTTGGAAACATTTTCTTTTGAAATCGTAACATTTCAAGATATCTATTCATTAATGCAATGTATAACCTAAAAAACCAGAACAACTCAAGACCTCAAATGTGTACCCTAGACAGCTTATTTCAAGAGAGTGGAAAACCTACCATCCAAAATTAAAGTTAGAAACTTTCATAGTTCAGGTCACACACCACCTTTCAGCCAATAACAAAATATCGAGAAACCCAACGTTTTGCTTTGAAGTTTAAAATATGCCCTCCTCCCCTCACCAAGGAAAACTACTCTCTCGAGTGATTTTCTAAATGTTGTACTATTACAGCGCTGAACCAAAGTACAGTGCTAAACCTGCAAACAGTTAACTGTGTGAATTAACTGCTGGCAGAAGTACTTACGCTGATCAATAGTAACAGTTGCTATTTCTCCAGAGTGTTCTTGGCTAGCCAACACATCTGCAAATTAGGAGAGAAAAAAAAAAAAGTAACTTTTTATTTAACCCACAAATTTCAAGTCACCCGAAGATCAAAAACTTTCATATGTCATAGAGGAAAAAAGTCAAAATTTGGTATCAGTTTGCAAGAGACATGCATAGCTCATGGTCTTATGAGAAGAGACATTTAACATCTGTCATTCAATTTTTAGAAATAAGGATGTACATGGTGAATTTCAAGGTATATCTTATGCATTCTCCGTCCCCTAAAGCCTTTAGCTATATCATGTAAATGAAGATGGAAACAGTTTTTACTCTGCCAATTTACATCCAAGCATGGTAAATCTGAAATGCACATATACCTTATTGTATTATGCACATACAATGCATCACTTATCGGTTGTGTTGTGTACAATCTAAGGATTTCATTGCCTATGCTTAATAATCTTCACTTCTATATGACACAGATGTACATTAAATAACTCACAATCAATATTTAATTACAAAACTGTCAAATTGCCAATTTACATCCAAGCATGGTAAATCTGAAATGCACATATACCTTATTGTATTATGCACATACAATGCATCACTTATCGGTTGTGTTGTGTACAATCTAAGGATTTCATTGCCTATGCTTAATAATCTTCACTTCTATATGACACAGATGTACATTAAATAACTCACAATCAATATTTAATTACAAAACTGTCAAATTCAGGAGATGCACAAACTAAAAGTATTTATTAAAACAAAGGAGGAATCATCAGTCACTACTTCCTCCCTATTAGTTATAAAGTTTGATGAAAGACGGGCAAACAGTGTTTAGTATGCCGACGTGTTTCACAATAGCAGACATTCTCACTAATACCTCCTATTATCTTGTACTGATGCCCTCATTTTTACTGCCAATAAAAAAAAAAACACCCCCCAAAATTTTTTTTTTTTTAAAAAAAAAAAAAAAAAAAAAAAAAAGAGAGAAGGGGGGACGGGGAATAAGTAAAATCAGTTACAGAAAAATCTCCCATACACTTTCGAAGAAGCTCCAAATGGCTCCAGAGGATTTCTCCCCGTGGGACGCGCTGGAAGAAGTCTTCTTGACTGAGGCTGCAGAGCTCCCGCCCGGGAATGCTGAGCGCATTGAGGTCAATGTCAGTCATGCTGAACTCCTTCATCACCCACACCACCCAGTGGAGCACCTGGTCTGTCGACCACTGCACTGGGTCTGGGAAAAGAGAGACAGAACTGCATGTCACCCCATCATATACTGCAAGGTTCCTCCACACTTGAGGTTACAGAGCTAGTCCTTGCTGTAACTGACAAGAAGAATGAAATACAAGTGGCTACTGATCCACAGCATTCAAACAAGCATAACCCAGAGTTCATTTTTTTGTATGACCTTTTCTCAAGGCCTTTTAAAAAACTTTATTTAGGGGGTTCTTGTTATCTATACATTTATTTTTTAAAAAGGGCCTGCTTCTAGGCCAGTCAGTGCTGCTATTCAGTTAAAGTCCAATGATGGCATGTTTTCAATTATATAATAACTTCCATAAAAGAAAATACACAACATCATGAAGTGTAGTTACCATGACCAAATCTGACCGGATGGAAAGTTGACTCCTCTTAAAATGCCGATGGAGTGGTGTTGCTTGGTGGGGAGAGGGAAAGGGCAAAAAAGGGATTTTCTTTAGCAAAAGCTTTTACGTCAGAACTACGCCTGACATTTCTCAAACACAGAAAATAATTATTTTTCTTTTTCCATAGGTCTTTAGTTTCAAAAAAGAGTAGTGTCTCTCACACCAGGATGCTCTTCCTCAAATATGTTGATCAGCATGTGATTATGATGAAATATTACATTCTAAACTCATTCACATTAACCCAGGTTCTAAACTATTTAAAATCACCATCGTGCTGGGATGGAGTTAATTTTCTTTATAGCAGCCCATATGGTCCCATGTTTTAGGTTGGTGACCAAAACAGTGTTGGTAACACACTGATGTTTTAGCTACTGTTAAGCAGTGCTTGCACAGAGTCAAGGTGTGACTGACTAAAGCCCTAGGGGTGGAACGTGACTCCCCTACAATGGAATAAGGCTCAGAGGAGATGGGCAAGGGTGAAGTGCCCATGCAGCTCAGAGAATAATGCAAAGAAGCTGACTTTATCTCAACAGAAAGGAGGTGGAGGGTGGCCTTTGTTTTAGATAAACAGCTATCAACAGCTGAGTGGATCAGCTGGTGGTGTAAACGTTTCCCTGAGTCAGCCAGACCAGCGTGGGGGGAGTGAATACATTGCTCAGCCCAACGTAGAGTACACAAACTAGACAACTAGCAAAAGAATTTCGAAGAGAGCAACGGGCTTGGGCTGGTTTCAACCCGCGCATTCCTTCCCGGCAACTGGGGACACCCAACATCGTGATGGTGAGCGTATTATATAGAGACCGGTAATGGGAATCACGTTGGTATTGTGATTGAACAGTGTATTGCAATTACCGCATTTTTCTAAGTGTAACTTACCTTTGTATTGTGTTTTTAGTATAATTTGTATCACTCTGCTAAATCATAAATCCCATGTAACATCAACCATCTTCAAGTAAATTTGATATCAAACATTATACCCTCCACCTGGTCAGAGAGTATTGGACTCTGACACAAGGCCTTCTCTGTTTCTCACTCGGCCACCCCAGCGAGTAGGCTGGGGGTGCACAAGAAACTGGGAGGGGACACAGCCAGGAAGCTTATTAAATTGCTTTTATCTTGATCCATGATTTTATTTTTTTTTTTAAGCTCGCTTTGGCCCTTTTGATTCTTTCCCCCATGCCTCTGGAGGGGAAGTCATCAAGTGACTGGGTGGAGGCTCATCTGCCAGCTGGGGTCAACCCACCACACAGGTGGGCTGATAAACATGCACTAGATATATAGATAAAAATATAAAACAGTAAGTGTAATACACCACATCTAGAAAGACCACATTAAATAAACCATTAAACCAAGACTTGATACAATAGGACCCAATGCATGCCTGTACTTGAATCAAACAAGCCACAGCATCAAGTTTTGGGATGCCTGTTTGACATTTCAACAGAACACAACATGCACATCATTTAAATACTAGTGCCAAACACACAAAAGCATAGGCAACTCACACAGCAGAGGAACATACAGAAATGGTAATAAATAATCAACTCAAGATATGTGCCATACATGATTTGTTGACTCGAGACATTTTAACATAAAAAGCCTGTTGTTTCAAGTAGTATTAGTGTGAACAAGCTAGAAAGAGGATGGGTAAATCTAAGCATAATTTTCAAAACTTTGTTAACATTGTATGCAATATATTAAAAGATGTCAACGAGTACGAACTGGAAAGAGAAACTAAAGCAGGGATATTTACTTTCACTGTCTCAAGGGCAAAAAACAGGAGCAGAACAACTATGTATTTTTAAATTACAATACCCCAAACAGATGTCACCTTGATATGTTTTTATTTTAAGAATTAAAGAAAGCAAAGCTTTCTAAGCCTGTAAACATTATCTAGAAGCCACAAATTCCATTTTGCTTAATAAAGGACAGTAACATTGCATTATTTTTCACCGATGCTACCTAAAACCATGCAATGTAATCCTGTGGGAAAAGCCACACCAAAAGGGTTTTGGTCTTCAAAACATTATCAGCAGTGAATTTTCATCAAAAAGCTGGTAATTTGTTCTCATTGACAGAACATAATCTGCAAGGTAACATGAATATTACTTTCTCCAACCAGTTCCATGGTTTCCAAGCTTTCTGCTGCTCCCTTTTCTGACCTTATTTCTCATACCAATTAATATTTTCTTTCTTCCTAGGGACCTTTGCAATGGTACCAAATTTTTGGATTTTATTAGCAGAAATACCTTTAACAGCTAAGAATTTGTAATCTCTAGTAAAACCCACCAAAACATAACACAAAGGGAAAGCCACAAATTAGCTAAAAGCTAATTTTCCATTTGCAGCAAAACAGAGAAGCTTGTAAGAATGAAGATACTGAACCACTACCTTTCTGGATGATGATTATTTACTGACCGGACTTGACTTTTAATATCAACATACCCTGTCTTTTGAAAAGATTCAAGGAATAATTTCAGAGAACTTCACAGAATCAAGCCTCACAACTCTGTGAAGGAAACTGGACTCTTTTTCTATTTTTTAAGATGTATATTTATAAATGTTGGGGGGGAGCAGGGGGAAAGATGTTTTTTTTGGGGACTACATAAGAACCTTAAGAACACTCTTTATTCTCAGAAATTTCCGACCATACCATGATGTAGGACTTAGCAGTGCCTTATTTTGACCCAAGCCCCTGCAACGTCATCTCAGATAACATTTAAAATCTTACTCTTTCTAGGAAGGTAGTTTAGCACATTTTTCTGATATCAAGCAAACGCTATTATTCTTAATACAGAGATCTCTGCCATAATGAACCAAAACGATTTTCCTGGAAAATCTGCACTCCCATGACACAAAAGACATTAAACTTTTAAAGTCATAGTTGTGGGTTATAGGGTTTTCTTAAAGCACCAACATTATTAAAGTTTATTAACATTATTCAATGTAACAACAACATGGTTTTAAGTAATTTTCTTCTTGTATTAACGGTAGAGCATGCTGAAAAATATCAGTCTGCTCCTGATAACACCTCACTTTTTTTTGCAAATATTCTGCGTCAAATCCCTAATTATCAACAGACATAGCATGATGAAAACTGTTTTGGAAGTGTTTGCCAATGAGAACAACAAAAAGGCATGAAAAAGCCATTGCTTTAGTTATCAAAAATACGTTCAAAATATTGGCAAGCTACACGTCCTGCAAAGACCTGTGACTTCACTGGAATTCTTAAACACTTCCAAATATCCCACTTGCCAAATATATTCCAGTTTTGCAGGTCTGCTTAGATACTACAGCTTCATGTGCTGAATATGCCTTGACAGTACATTTCTGCCAAGTCATAACAAGCAACTCAGCTGGATAATCTCCTGAACGTGATGTAGGTCTAAAACCCACAGTTTCAGTTCAATCTTAAGCAGGCATTCAGAGATGCTTCTTCTAAGCTAACATTAAATTAGCAGCCTGCTAAGTAACAACATTAATTCAAAAGAGATGTATTCTACCAGAATACTTATATTCAGTTCTGAATCATCTTTTTCCGGCATGTTGAAGTCAAGTATGGCTTTCCATGCAAAATCTGATTTTACACCATACTCAGCATTCTACAACCTACGAACAATTTGTTTCAGCATCTTTAAAGGCAACCCCCACCAAGTACTGAGTTGAGTTCAAATTCAGACACACATGAAAAAGAGCTTTATCACTAACACACACATTTTTAAGGAGGGGAGGAAGAAGGAAACTGCAATGACAAGAAGGTTATGGAGCAAAAAGCACTCTTTTAATAAAACTATTACAAGCATTGATTCTACTTCTCTTTAGCCTTCTCTTATGCAGATATTTGCATTGTACTTACCCATACCATAAGAAGCCTTCTCTGAGGTATTGGAGCACTTTAATTATATAACCAAAATTAATTATCATTTATGAAGAAACACCAGTCCCCCAAACGAACAACAGAACCCAGCCCCTACCTGAACACATGCGTGCACGCACACACAGAGTCATGTATTATTACCATAGGGTATTCCAAGGCGCTCCTGCTCCTTTCGGTAGCCTTCCAACGCTGCAGCCCATCGTGTCACTTGTTCAGAGGTTTCATCTGAAATTGTTGTAATATGTTTTGTTCCATCCAAGGTTATCACTTGAGCTTCCTCCACAAGGTGAGCTTCAGCCTCTGTGTGATGAGCATCTGGATCAATCACTACCTCCACAGTCTCCACAGGCTTCACAATTTCAAGGATGTTTAACTTGGGCTCTATCCCTAGGTACAGAAAAGAACAAACACAAAACTTAAAGACAGCAATGCAAATATGACAAAAACATTGTTTTAAAGCTTTCTGATTAATAGGTGTTAGCATACTTAGGAAAGAAGCATGACACAAAAGCATCATCAAATTTCTGCAAGTGTCCTAAACTAGAATGACATATTCTATTATACAGTATATACTTTAGTAAGGTGAATACAAAGCTGTCCCTCTTTCCTCCCCCAGTATTACAGCTTCCTGTTCTACTTAGGTGATCCATTTCACATATCTTGAACAGAATGTTCAGCATGTGGGCATAAAGAACAAGTATTTTGGTCTGTAAGAAATACACCGAACCAAAGGAAAAAAAAGCAAACCCCAAAAAACCAGAACAAGCATCCACCTCTTTCCCCCAACCAAGAGGCATTTCTTTCAGCCTTTACAATATTTCCCTGCTATCTCTGGGGTCTACACACAGGATTTAACATTTTCTTTCAGTGCCCTGCAAGAGGCAGTGTGTTCAACAGCAAGTTAAAAGAAAACTAGAAAATTCTTCATGTTTTAAGCTTCATCAGCTACTCATGTTTTGGTTTTATGTCTGTCATTTAAGATATTAGACCACGGAGTTAGAAGATATGTCTGTATCTATTCTGCAGCGATAAAGAACACATTCACTAATGCTACTAATGCTTTGTATCACCACCTTCTCTGTTGTCTTCTGAGAAGGTATTTTGTCCAACTGGTGCCTCACCAAATTTCTGACACTGTATAGAAGATTTTTCTTGTCATTATAATATGCTAAACAGAAAAAAATTCTTTCAATTTTTGTGACATATAATTTCCATTATATTAACAACTAACAACCACACTTCTTTAAGAGATTTAATCAAACCTATTTGCACATTTAAAAAAAAAAATCTGTAAAATCCCATTTTATTATGACTTGGAAAACCTTGACTAGGGTTAGGCAGTTGAAAGTAGGATTCACAGAACATCCCATGGCCAGAATATCTTAAGTATCTTGTGCCATAAGGAATTACTTTGAGTCCCTCCTGTCTAATCTACATTAAAGCTCAATGGGAGATGGTAGGTTCTGGAGGTGACCGTCTTAAAAGCTAAAACCACAATCCATTCACAGTTCATAAGGGAAAACAAATGTACCTGTAGTACAAGTAAGAACAAACCAAGTCTTTTTCAGACAAGTATTCCTCTAGACTTTAAAAGGAATTCAGCTTGAAAAAAATATTAGAAAGGGAACACTACAAAGACCGTAAGTACAACATGCAGCAATATGAAATTAAGGAAGTGAAAACAGATGTAGACAACCAGTAAGTGGTTGATTAGATGAAGCAAACATGAAGAAAAAGCAAACAAGTACCTTCCTTACAAGAGTAAGTGTTTTATCTAGGCCATCTAAGATTAACATGCGCAGCACAGGCTTGTTTTAAAGTCAGATAGAAATGGGTAAGGGAAAACAATAAGGGTTAAGATTTTATTTTTGATCTTCAAAAAAGAAAGTAAAGAAAAAAAGCTTCTAGAGAGGAACAGTTCACTATTGCTCAACAAAATTAATTCACTGTCTGTCAAATAACTACATGTCAAAAGAACTGTGAATCTACTGCTCTATCCATAATGCAAACATGGAGATCAAAGTGATGAGTCTCTGTAGAGGAACCAGTTTATAAGTAAAAATGTTGTGAAGTAACAGTCTGCCGCCTAACCTACTGCAACGTTAGATCAACGTTAATTCACTGGGTTTGTCTGCATCCCTTCTCACATCTCTCTGCATAAGAAAACAGATGTCCAGTCTTCCTTGGACAGCATGTAAGTTGTGGAACACAATGTGACAATGTCACACACCCCAGAAGCACAAACTGGTACAAAAAGTACAAAAAAATCAAGGACATTAGCTATCAAGGCATGTCCAGATCTTGCCAGTACAAGCCCCTTCACTGTTAATTGTCTGAAGCTAGAGAATATACTAGGGTTAAGACTGACCTGCAGGCAACCTGGGCTTTTTTTTTCCTTGAAATGTCTAGTATTAACCACAGCCAGAGACAGGACATTAGTCAAACTGCACCTTTAATCTAAATCAGTATGTTTCATTATACTTATGAATCATTCCTTTACACACTAAAAATAATAAAAGCCTAGTTATTGCAAAAAAACAGCTTAGAAACCATAGCCAAATGAGGAGTTACACACTTAAAACAGGACTCGGACTTCAGCTACCTAAATCCAAAGAACCTTTTGTGCTTAACCACCACTTAGTCCCAAAATCTGTGTGAGTATCTATAGTACAGCTACATACACATGCTCAGAAATTCTCAAAGCAGCTATACACTAACCTCTCATGTCAGTCAAGCATTTAAAAAGTAGGTGGAACAGCATCTGTTTGGGAAAATGTTAATCTTGCAGGTGTGCTTTGGGTATGCATAACAGACAGAACTGAGCTCAACACAAACAGCAGCTACAGACACTTTCATTCACAAACACGGCCTTGACTTGTTTAAGTTTGTGTATGCGGTACGTGAACAACTTGAATGGCAGGTTGACTGGACTACCTGTTGGTATACTTTGCAAACAACAAGAAACAGACAGCAAAACTACACTGTCCACCTCCATAATACAGGACTCTCTCCTCCCACTGCTCAAACCAACGACTGTCAGAGATCGCTGCTCTCATTCTAGCCCTTTCAATCTAGTATCTCTGTCTCCCACAGTTCATCTGAAAAAAGTGTGGCAAGTACTTCCATTCAAGCTCGCCTCTACTCTGTTGATTAAGGAAGTAGAAAAAGCAAGAAAAGATTCCTCAGGTGACAGACTGCCAGCCAGATCTTCCAATTTACAACCTGAAAAGTTTATCTTCCCTCCCTCCCTCCCCATTTCTTTTCTTTAAAAAAGAAAAAAAAAAATTAAGCAACTAAAGTTAGGGTCAGAATCCATTTTATCATATCTCAAGAAAAAAAACACTATCAACTGTAACAGCTTAAGGATGGCAAAATGTTAATCTGATATTATCTACAGTCAGACAGGCAGGAGAAAGCCTTGATCAGATATAACTTTTGTTTGGGTTTAAAAAAAAAAAAAAAAAAAAAAAGAACAAAATATTTGCTATGGAGGTCTTCAAAATTAAAGCTTTTTTCAAATTCTTTGACATACGATGCAATGCAGTTACTCAGATCTCCACAGACTTGCAAGAGGCTTAGTTCAGAGCAGTACAGAATGGGGCTGCACTCAAAATTGCTGTTCTCACAATGGCAGGAAAACCATATACATCTCCATTCTTCAAACCAGAAGAAAGGAGTTAAGGCAAGGTGGAGTGACAGAACGGTCTTTCTAGTAAAAAGAATAAATAGGACTGATATTTTATCTGCTGTAACTCATATTAAGATATCTTTGTATGAAATGCTATAAAACAACTACAATGGACTATATTTCAACCGGTTTTTATTCCTTTGAGTTTACAGATGGCTAATCAAAATTTGATAGAACACAAACTGACATAACAGCTTTTCTCTTAAGAAATAAGAGAGTCCAATCCATCACAGGGATTAGCATCACTGATTACTGCTAGCTGAATTCTATGTATTATACAAGTTAGGGAAAAATAAAAAATAAGTAAATAGAGAATCTTTCAATACCTCATCCATACAAGAAAAATATGCAGATGGCATAAGAAGCTATTTTTTCCCTCTGGCTCAAAGGGACACTGCAGTCAGAGTAACAAGTCCATTTCCCTGCTAGTGATCCAAATATCTTCCTTTTATTATTTATATCCATGCTGTTTGTTTTCTGATATTCTGTCCTGCCATATTTTACTTGCCTTCAACAGACAGATTTCTTACGAGTTGCTTAAGTGTCAAGTATCATGGCCTGAAAAACAACACTGAGGATCATTCCGAAGTTATACAAAGGTACTTAATACTCAGGTGTTTCTTTTAAGGAGAGAGAGAGAGAGAGAAGGGCGCGGGGGAAGCTCCTTGTGCTATATGGTCACGCACCTCAGTTTTACATTAAAGACGGAAAAAAAACCCACAGGAAGAAAATGGAAGATAATAGTGAAGGTATTTATCACATGCATCCTTTTGAAAATGGAAGTCTGAGCACTGCATACTACAAGTTACTGGGCATGAATTAAGAGCCGTTATTCTAGTTGCCTGAAGGATATTTCTACTCTATTTTTAAAACCAGAAAGGTAGTTGAATCCCCATTACATACGGACTGAACCTAGCACTAGTCACCTGACACTCAGCATTAAATGCAAATCGTCAGTCTTACTTAATACTGTCAATACAAAACAGAAAGGCTTTCTTCTCTCTAATCTACACTGAAGCCACAAGAAAACAAAACGTGCTCCCCAGATTTTGCTAATCTGCTTTGCTGACATAACTCAAAACAGATAATCAAAGATACCCTACTCCAGTAGGAACTTGTTGTCACTGTTTGTTTGAAAATATGGCAACCGTAGCTGTTCCCAGAGCCCAACATGAATGTTGTCTTCAGTGAGCGATCGCAGTCCTTCCACTCAAGACATATGGAGGGGGCAAAGGAGAAGAATAGGACAAAAAGCAAAACAATGAAGCTACTAATTCCTGAGGATTTACAAGGGGAAATCCTGTCATACCTGATACTACAAGCAAATAAAAACTATGCATCAACAAATCCCTACCCACCTGGTTAATGCTCCTCTGTCACAACCGTTTACTCTGACTTCTCATCCAAAAAAACCAGACAATAGATAGCGGTCCTAGCCTTTCATACCAATTTTCAGTTAGCTATATATACTCTCATAACCTAATCGTTCATGAAGCACACAAGCTAACTCACCTCACAAAGATGAAATTGTCACCTACTTAGACAAAAAATCTTTTGCCTGCTTAGATACTTGGTCTGGTATGAGTAACTACTCACCCTTAATGAAAGCCTCATACTGTAACTGTCACTATTTGACCCAGGTTTGTTTGGGTTTTGGTTTTGTTTTGCCTTTTTTTTTTTTAACTTAGAAATTGATATGAAGTTACTATAAAAAACATTTCAAATAGCATCAGTCCATGACATTTATTTTAATTACTACTACTTAAAACCACAGTACGTAATGAAAGAGACATTCTGAAGCTATGTGACCATTCAGCGATTTTCTCAATTTTACAGCTAGAAATAGTAGGGGATTAGGTTTCCTCATAAGCACTCCTACAATATTAATTTATCTGTACAACAGACAAACATAACTGCTTACCTTGCCTAGATATTACTTGCACACTGAGTTGCACTGTTCCATCTGTTTTTACTCCTTGATCAAAAAGGCTTCGATCTGGGTCCAGCTTGATAAAAGCAAAAAAATTAAAAATAGGTATTAATCTCACAGTTATAAGAAACTTATTCTCCTTTAAACTTTAGAAACACTTAGTGTCCGCAGCAAAGTTTCTGAAGAAGGGTGCAAATATTTTTAGTACTATGTAGACATAGTACATGACAGAAAGAATTTGATCGGAATTTGAAACTCGCCACTCTGTTCTGTTTAAGGTAGTTTCACTTACAGGGACATTTTTTAACCTAAAAAAAGCAATGCAATACCTGGAAGTACCTTCACTTTGTGAAAAGTATCTACAGTTCCTTTTCTCAGTTTTTAACACCTTCATAAAAATTCTTGTCTTTAAAGCAGTATTCTCCCTGTTGTTTCTGGAAAGCCACAGATGTCTGATTATAACTACAAATAAAACATGCAGCTAAACACAATGCGACACAGTTATACTGTCTAACGTGTGGTGATGCCTGTACAAATAGTGGTGGTGCTGGGGAATTTCTTGAGTAATGTTTTGCTACCTATGCACCTGAACAGTAGAAAAACCTCTCTGTATTCAGATTCAAAACAAGATTAGACACACGGAAGTTCAGGCAGCAACAAATGATGTGGGCTACCTCAAGAGAAGATAGTATTGTCGTTGCCCTCATTCTTCTTCACTTGCAAGGTGGTAATTTGTTGCTTTCTTACCCTCACCCCAGGAACCCCGAAAGTATTTTGATTTTATTCACACTGAATTAGTGTGTACATATTAAATGGTTTGATGATAATGAACCTGACATAAAATTAAACTCTTAATTGTAATTAATATACCAAATGAAGCATGAATTCCATGACCAATGGAAGAAAGGGACGAAGTATGTAAAAATGCTTCTCCATTAAGAGGTTAAATCTTTCATAGCCTTTCAATTTACCTGGATATCTTGCAGGCAAATTTCATGTGCATCCAAGGAACACTGCAGTCTGGGTTCCAGCAACTTCTTAAGATTTCCAATTGGTTCATTGATGTCAATAGCTTGACTCACAAATTCTGCTGTGGTGTAGGTTTGCTCAACAATGCTTAAATACCAAATTAATACAACAAATCATTACCTACATGTTAATACAGTAGGTATAGGAAAGCTTAAAGAAAGTTAGAAGTAAACTACATAAAAGGTAATCCGGACTCTGAAATGTTAATACCATGCAGAAAAACTCTTAGCTTGAGTAGTGAATGAATTACTAAATTTGGTCCCATTGATTTTACAGTTCTGTAACTCTTCTTTTACCCTGTTGGGGTTAAAAGGCTAGGTTAAATACCAAGACTATTTTCAGATCACCGTTTTCAAGAGATTAAGTCATGATTACTATATTATACATTATTAACTTGCATGTGGAGTAAACTAATTCTATTTGCCTTGCCTAGACTGGATGTAAAAGATATTCAAGTTCAAAAACAAACATGGAAACTTAACAGATAGGGAAAAAAAAGAAGTAAAAAACGTCCACTGTCATAGAGAGTACTTGTCCATGTCTTTTCACCAGTCAGCTTCACGCGTACAAGAGACAACCAGAATGAACTACTACAGCAACATGGAGCCTTGAAGGAAACATTAGTCATGTGTCATGGTTGTCCTGCACTAAAATGATGACAGTGTTGGCATAGGCACTCAGAAACATCAATGTTATGGACTCTTAATGTCTTAACAACGACCTTAGACAGTTGGTCTCTCTACATTTACACAGAAGGAAATCAGAAAGTATACAGACATAGTCAGTTTGTAAGTAGCAAAAATATGCAAGGAGCTCAGAATAAGAAGAAACGAGTAAGCGGTTTTGAATCAGTTCTCCAAAACAGGTTCTTAAAGAGCAGGTCACCTACCAGCCTCAGCTATTTCTATCCAACACATTAACTGCCTCTCTGTGCTTTCAAAAGCAGTTGTAAAAATTAGGAGGGAAGCATTAGGAAGAAAAAAAACAGGTTGAGGTAATTAAGTCAAAGGATATCAGACTTCAGTATCTAGGGTTTCAATGGCCCGAACAACAATATAGTCAATAGATACAGAACATCATTTCTGCTCTGTTAAAAACAAATGACCCTGTATAACAGTAAAGCAATGGACTGGAGAATCTGAAAGGTTCATCTCAATTACAGAAGGATACACTGAAGCTGAAAGGTTTGCAGCATGTACATGTAGACATATTCCTGCAGACATGAAAGTAGGGGAAGAGAACTACTAAGAACATAGCAAGAGATAAACAAAACCGTTTGGGATTTAAGCAATTAAGATTGAAGAACATGATAGCACTACACAGGTTTCCAATAGTGGCTACAGTTCCACTTCAAGAAAACCACCATTTAATTAGATAAAAACCAGAAAAACTGAAGAGAGCACAAGCAAAACTAAGAACTTCGTATCCAGCAAGAAAGTTGAAAAACTGTGGAAACAACCAACTGCAGGATTACGGAGATCATACTGAGCCAGTGACTTCTGCCAGTTTAAAGTTACTTCTTTTGCCTAGCTAGCAAACACTTGTACTTATTTCATAACCATGGCCATCTTTGAAGCATTACACAATACCCAATAATAAATCTGAATAACCAAACTTAGTGTGTGCAGTCACAAATCTGAAACCAATTAAAGAAAACAAATAAATAAATGAGTTGCAGCCTAAGGACCCCAAAAAGCAAAGACGGTACATACCTTTCTTCAGTGCATTCCTGTTTCTCAGTTCCATCAATTTCTATTTCTATCAGCTCCTCTGCCTCTCTCTTAGTCATGGCTAAAATGTCTTAAGAACAGAGCTATGAACAGAAAAGAATTTTTTTTTTTGTAAGTCGCAGACTAACAAAACTAGATAATGGGTTGCGTCCCATCAAATATTTTTTAAACCAAATACCAGGATAGCTTGTTAAAGACAAGAATTCACCTAAAAAATAAAGCCAAAAGCTAATACAGATTTCACAAATAGATTACAATACCTGTTCCTCAAACAAACGTTCTAGGGGCAATTCCAGGACTATAAATGGACATTAGCACAGAGCCCAAAGCCTGATTTTCTTGGAGGCATCCGAATTTACTGAATGTTTTTGTTATGGGCTGGCTACAGCTTTTAGTAGTTGGTTGCAAAGAACTTTGAAAATTCTTTGGAAGTTATGTGTATTTTGCCATCTAGATTCAGCTACATACTACCCTCCTAGCAAGGCTGAAAGATGCTGCTTATAAATTTAAGCAGCATTTTACATAAAATGCTGCAAAAGGAAGCTAGACAGAAGATCCATGATTTCCTCATAGATAAATAAACTCAACAATAAAGTGTTTATTGACCGTCCCATCTTTCCACCCATCCCTCTCATGGGCAATCACTTGATGATACATGCATAATGAATGCATCTTGTTAAGTCCCAAACTAATGCCATATGTTAGCAATTAAAAGGAAAGCTATTCTGTGACGATATTCTCATTGACACTGCAGATTTTCACACCCTGTAGAATACTGGAGTCTGTTGGAACGTTAAAGGGGAAAGAAAGAATTACAACTTTTGGTCTGTAAAGACATAGTTTGTATAATATTACCATGTTTCACTAACCATCCCATACATCTTAAGTATGAAATACATACAATAAAGAACTGGGCCAAATTATATTAACAGTTTACAATAAATAATGCCACCAACTCACAGGAAGAGGAGTAGGAAGTAGGAGTCCAGAGGAAAAAAAGTAACAGTAGAAAAAGCAAAACATGCTGCTATTTAAATATCCACAATAGAAGAGATTAGCAAGGTTTCAGTCCTGGAATCATTCTTTCCCAGGGACTACTCTATCCCAAACCCAACTGTTAGTAAGAGAATTTATTAAAGACAAGTTAATAAGGGAACTTACTATACTTTAAAACTTCCCAAAAGGAATAGCAACCAACTACGTTGTACAGTTGTTACAGAAAAGGTTTAAAGAAATTCAAACTACTCATCTTATTATCTCCTTGAAAAACTATTATGTAAAATCAGTTTTGAAGAAATCAAGTGCTGCATGTGGTATCAATCTGTAAGAAGCTACTAGGGCTAGACAGGAAGTAAACAGCACCTCATTAATATCTCACCGCTAGAAGCAAAACCAGAATCTGTTCTGCTCACAGATCTGGCTCTGTGAAAATCCCCTAACTGCCAGGGTAGGATCCACTGAACTGGAGTGGTAGCAGCCACTGAACAGAGTCCTGGGAGTCCCATTTCCATATCACTTAATCTTGTATATCATCTTCATGATAAATGGGGAAGAACGAAACACCACTTCTGAAGAATGCTGACAAGCTTAATTAAATATCTGAAAGAACTGACACCTGCATGATTACTGGTGATCTCGCTGACTGTTAAAAGATTTTTCGAAATTCAGGTTTGAGCAGAGTCCCTTACTGAAAACTCCCAAAGAAGCTAACTGGTACCATAAAAAAGGGGGGAAATTCTTTCCTGTATTAGCAATCAGATTAAAACCCCAAACCAAGAGGAATAAGTTACTTTTTTTTTTTTTTTTTTTTTTTTTTTTTGTTTTTACCGTTACGTCATTTTTTTTTTTTTTTTTTTTTTTTTCTTTTGTGAGTTTACCAGTAAGGTCACAAAAGGGGTTAGGCTAGGATTTCTTATTATTTATTTATTGAGAAAACTGTGCAGACCTGCTGAAAGAACTCACCATCTTGAATCATTTCTGGCAGAAAATATTCAATATTGGTAAACGCAAAGTGACGCACTGTGAGTAAATACTGTAACAGCGCAGTAACTGTATAGAATTAGGTAAGACAATTTAAAGTCCTTATTGATTGGACTCCAAATTGGCAGTTGGACTAGTCACTGTTCACTCACTCTTCAAAGGCGGTTTGCAGTTGCATCTCGCAGGCTCTACTACATTTCTGGTTACCCTGGGGAGGCAGGAGAGGGGAGCACAGGCACAGACAGCAGATACAGAAAGAGAAAGAAAGATGGTTCCATTGAGCACAGATGCAAGAAAGGGAGATGACGGGTGGAAAGAGGAAGAATAACATTATGAATACATGTAGAGTCATTAACAGTTCAGAGAAACCTGATGGGGAAAATTATTCACTCTTTCCTATGCTAGAATAGAGACTCCTGACGATATAAACATTTCACACGAAGTCTAGCAAAATTTGTTGCTACAGGACGATGCAGAGATTGAAAGAGTACATAGGTTCAGATGGGACTAAGCTTCCTGAGCCTTCCCTGAGGGCTACTGAGAAACAAGAAAACTCAAACAGCCTGGTTTGCTAGGAGGGTCAATGTGGTAGGAATACCACAACAGCAGCATTTATTTGGAGGAACATATAAAACTGTGCTTGATTTGTGGAAGTTACAGCCTTCTGTTTGTTTTGATTTTTCCTTCAACCTAAAAAGCCCTAAGACTTACGTGTTATCCAAGAAGGAATCTGACCATAATGCCCAACGCAGACCTCCACTAATGTAAGAGAAGGCACCCGTTAACAGAGCCTTTTTTTCCCTGCACAACGCCAGTACCTTTTACAGTTTGGCATTTGCAATCAGGGGAGAAAACCTATTGTTCTGTTAAGATCTATCTTTTCTTTTCCCTGGAACACAAGGAATTAAGCAAGTAACAAGCCCATCACGACAGAGGCACAAACTGTACTACTGTAATTGGCATTTGTTATCCTACCAAGCAATTGTGAAGCGGGGGCAACTACTGGAGCCCACATGCATTATCAAGTGACACTGAAGCCCAATCACTGGAGATATTTGTGCTCCCGAGATGCTCTGGTGGTTCAGCTGTTTGTGGGACATTTGGTACTACCCACCCCCCTTATCATTCGAATTGGTGAAGACCAACGCAAACAGACAACCTGTCCTTTACAGATCAGCTTTTGCAAGTTATCCGCCAGTTGGGATTTAAGACAAAGACAGCGGACCGCTAAACGGGGTGGAGTCATGCCAGATTTCAAGCGTTCTCCTTCCTTATCAACAGTCAGAAGTCAGAAAATAAATCCGAACCGGGAGAAGTGGTTGTGCAGCACGTACCTGGCCGAACACCAGGAAGCAAAGGAAGTAAGATGCCAAATACCCTCTTAGTTTTCACCCCAAACAAGTTTTTACAAGCGGGTTAAGTTTTTACGCCCCGGAGAGGACTCGCGGACCTCGGCCCGGGCTGCCTGACTCGCCCCCAGCCGCGACCGCGGGACCTGCTGCGGGAGGACCTCACCCTCCGCCCGCCCC